CACTTTCACCCCCTTTCCAGGTCCGGACACTTTCACCCCCACCCCCGTTCCAGTCCGGACACTTTACCCCCTTTCCTATCCAGGGCAATTTTCACCTTTCAGCACTATCACACTTTCAATGACAATTGCGCGGTCATGCAACACTGTACCCAAATTAATTTTTTACCATTTTTTTGAGACAGATAAAGCTTTATTTTGGTGGTATTTATTCACCGCTGGCATTTTTATTTTTTTTGCTATGTAAATGAAAAAGTCAAAAAATTTTGAACAAAAGTGTTTTATTTTATAAAATTTTGCAAATAAATAATATTTCATCATAAATCTTTGCCAAAATATATTCCGTTATCTTTTTAGTAAAAAAACAAATTGGTTTATAACCAAAAATTATAATTTTTAAACATTTTTTTTACATTTTTATTTTATTTTTTTATATTATTATTTTTTGTTATTTATTTTTTTTTACATACTGTCACCCTAGCAGTACAGTGTCACCATGGTGACGAAGATTTTTTTTTTTTTTTACACACTGATTGCTTTTACACCCATATAGGATGCAAAAGCAATCATTTCTCTTTCTCTCTGTCTGCATTCTTGCACTCATTGAGAAGTACTGAGTGAGCTGTGATTGGTCACAGCTTGTCACATGGTACAAGGCTGTTGTGAATAGCCCTGTACCATGTGACCTCTGTGATCATTCACAGATTTCACACGTAGTAAGCAATGATGTCACAAGTGACATCTTGCTTACTACTTTGCATGTGATCACTGATTGGCCAATCAATGATCACATGATCGGGACCTCGTACAGAGGTCCCATCCGACGATCGGTGTTTCACTGTGTCCGGAGGACACAGCGGGCACCGGATCGCGGTGCTGCGTGCTCCCAGAGAGTGCGCACAAGCAGGGTGCAGGGAGGCCGTTCATAAACGCCCCCCCGACCCTGCACTGCCACCGTCCGGGCCGTGTATATGCAACGGCCGGTCGGGAAGTGGTTAAGGATTCAATTCAGCAAATTTCTCGCTTGGACCTCTTATCAGTGCACATGCGCAAGGTTTTGTGGCTGAAGAGTTGGTCAGCAGAACTGCCATGCAAAAAATTGTTGGCAGGTTTTCCTTTTCACAGGGAATGGGTGTTTGGGAAAGATTTGGAAATATACAGATCATCCAGAAAGTATTCCCAGCGCTTACCTTTTGCGGCATTTCGTTATATTACGGCCTTATTCCAAAATGGATGAAATAATTTTTTTCCCTCAACATTCTACAAACGATAACCCATAATGACAACGTGAAAGAAGTTTGTTTTGAAATCTTTGCAGTTTATTAACCCCTCCTCCTCCTGAGGATTTACCCCCCTTAATGACCACGCCTCTTTTTGCTACTCGGCGCTGCACTAATTCAACTGATAATTGCGCGGTCATGCAATGCTGCACCCAAACTAAATTTACGTCCTTTTTTTCACACAAATAGAGCTTTCTTTCGGTGGTATTTGATCACCTGTGCACTTTTTATTTTTCATGCTATAAACAAAAAAAGGCCAAAAATTTTGAAGAAAAACGATATTTTTTTACTTTCAGCTATAAAAATATATAGTAAACTCAAAGTTGGTTATAAATTTAGGCCAAAATGTATTCTGCTCCATGTTTTTGGTAAAAAAAAAATCCCAATAAGTGTATATTGATTGCTTTGTGTGAAGTTATAGCGTCTACAAACTATGGTATAGATACTGCAATTTACACCATTTTTTTGCTATACAACGCTGCGCTAGTTTAACGGACAATTGCGCGGTCATGCAATATGGTACATAAATGAAATTTACATCCTTTTTTTCCTACAAATTGAGCTTTCTTTTGGTGGTATTTGATCGCCTGTGTGGTTTTTATTTTTTGCGCTATAAAAAAAAAAAAGTCTGACAATTTTGAGGAAAAAAACCAATATTTTGGACTTTTTGCTATAAAACATGTCCAGTAAAAAAAAATTAAAAAATCAAATTTAGTCATAAATTTCTGCCAAAATGCATTCTGTGACATGTCTTTGCTAAAAAAAAAAAAAAAAAACAATACGTGTAAATTAATTGGTTTACGTGAAAGTTATAGCGTTTACAAATGGCGGAAAATATACGGGGATTGTTAGTTTTTTTTTATACTAATAATGGCGGCAATCAGTGAATTATGGCGGCGATCAGCGACTTATGGCGGGACTGAGTAACTGTGGCGGACATTCTGACATTGGGGGGGTACTGACTTGGGGTCACTGACATCCCCAGTGACACCAATACAGTGATCAGTGCAAAAAAAAACCACTGACACTGTACTAATGGCACTGGGGAGGAAGGGGTTAAGTTTATTATTCAGGGAAAGGGTTATCTGTGTGAGGGGAGTGTTTTACTAGGGGGCGGGGTGTGTACTGCAGGGAACACCGCTGATTGGGAGAGAGAAACTCTTCTGTCCTGATCAGCGTGTCAGGGAACTGACAGAAAGCACAGCTACTGCAGCTGTGCTCTCTGTCAGCGATTGCTGCTGATCGCCGGGACATAGCCGGTAATGACCTGCTGTGACCCGGCGACTGACATCCGCGGCTGTGATCGGCGGGACAGGTAGGGCAGCGGAGCACCTCACGCGCGCCCCCTAACTGTTTACAAGACACACGTTTTAAAACGTGCTTTTGCCCAGCCGTGCCACCCTGCCGCCGTATTTATACAGTGGCTGGCGGCATGTGGTTAAAAATAAAAAATGAAAACAAAAAAAACCCCATGTACATAAGTATTCTCAGCCTTTGCCATGACCCTCAGAATTGAGCTCTGGTGCATCCTGTTTGTACTGATCATCCTTGAGATGTTTCCACAACTTGATTGAAGTCCACCTGTGGGACATTCAGTGGATTGGAATCCACCTGTGGGGAATTCAGTTGATTGGAGTCCACCTGTGGGAAGTTCAGTTGATTGGAGTCCACCTGTGGGAAGTTCAGTTGATTGGAGTCCACCTGTGGGAAGTTCAGTTGATTGGAGTCCATCTGTGGGACGTTCAGTTGATTGGAGTCCACCTGTGGGACGTTCAGTTGATTGGAGTCCACCTGTGGGACGTTCAGTTGATTGGAGTCCATCTGTGCTAAATTCAGTTGATTGGAGTCCACCTGTGGGAAATTCAGTTGATTGGAGTCCACCTGTGGGACATTCAGTGGATTGGAGTCCACCTGTGGGGAATTCAGTGGATTGGAGTCCACCTACGGGAAATTCAGTTGATTGGACATGATTAGGAAAGGCATAAACCTGTCTATATAAGGTGCATGTCAGAGAACAAACCAAGCCATGAAGTCCAGGAATTGTCCGTAGACCTCCGAGACAGGATTGTATCAAGGCACAGATCTGGGGAAGGGTACAGAAAAATGTTTGCAGCATTGAAGGTCCCAATGAGCACACTGGCCTCCATCATCCGTAAATGGAAGAAGTTTGGAACCTCCAGGAATCATCCTAGAGCGGGCCGACCGGCCAAAATGAGCAATCAAGGGAGATGGGCCTTAGCCAGGGAGATAACCAAGCACCCGATGGTCACTCTGAAAGAGATCCAGCATTTCTCTGTGGAGAGAGGAGAACCTTCCAGAAGAACAACCATCTCTGCAGCACTCCACCAATCAGGCCAAAACCAAGCCAGTAAAAGGCAAACAGCAGCCTGCCTGGAGTGTGCCAAAAGGCACCTGAGGGACTCTCAGACCATGAGAAACAAAACTCTCTGCTCTGATGAAACAAAGATTGAACTCTTTATCCTGAATGCCAAGAGTCATGTCTGGAGGAAACCAGGCACCGCTCACCACCTGGCCAATACATCCCTACAGTGAAGCATGGTGGTGGCATGCTCCCAGTGACACTGCGATCTTTGTGCTGGAAGCTGGAATTATAAACTAATTTGGCTTATTTATTTTTTTTACTAAAAATATAACGGAATACGTTTTGGCCAAGATTTATGATGAAAGATTATTTATTTGCAAAATTTTATAAGAAAAACACTTTTTTTCAAAATTTTTGGATGTTTTCATTTACATAGCAAAAAAAATAAAAATCCCAGCGGTGAATAAATACCACCAAAATAAAGCTTTATCTGTCTAAAAAAAATGGTAAAAAATTCATATGGGTACAGTATTGCATGACCGCGCAATTGTCATTCAAAGTGTGAGAGCGCTGAAAGCTGAAAATTGCCCTGGACAGGAAGGGGGTAAAAGTGTCCGGACTGGAAGTGATTAAAATGGAAAAAAACAAAAGAAGCAATTTCACCTAAAATAAAGCCCCTAACATAATAAAATAAAAAAAATCCCACCAAATATTACATCCTTGCAACTAAACCTTTTTTTCTGAGAATCTTGCAGCAAACAAAGGTTGATGTCAACGCGGTCAGCAGCTGAAAGTGACCACTGACCTCAAATCAACCATAAAATAACATGAAAAATAAAAAGTCTTCAATAACAACAACAGAAAAGCATCAAAGGGGTTGATTGGCCAGAGGGCTATCAAACAGGATTAGAGTACAGTTTCATAACCAATCCTAATCCCTCTCAATGCAGTTTGTTCGGTTTCCCTTTCCTTTCCCGAAGCACACTGGCCATACATCAAAGGCCATGAAGTGCAATATGGTGAAAAAAAAAATCTCCTGGGTGGATCTGCATAACAATATTACCAGGGCAGTGAATATCAAGCCAACAGTATCCTTTATGAAGCCATGGTTTTTAGGTAGGGTTGCCACCTCATCCCTTTAAAACCGAACACATAATAATTAGACATCTTCTGGGGATGATTAAGGTGATAATTAAAGTCGCTCAGTGCCTTATCTGCATTAAATTGGCCTCAGAAAACTGTGTAAATAACATGTGTTCGGTGTTAAAGGGATGAGGTGGCCACCCTAGGTAAGGGTGGATTGAGACACGGCACAAAGCAAAAGTATTCTGACTCAGATTGTTGTGATAGCGATTTATCCCTTGTGAGACCTCTCTGCCTAGCCCAGGGGTCTGCAACCT